CCCCCCAGAAGCAAGTCCAAAATCAAAAGGCCGAGTTTGCAAACTCGGCAAGTCGATTTTGAGGCTTCTTACGATGATCGTACGTGACGAAAGTGCTGTAAATACCGGGTAAAACGGATGTGCTCTTAAGATGGTTTGGGGCACGTGTAGTTGGTAGGGGGGGGGCGCCTACTGCTACTACTACTACTACTACGACGACGACGACGACTACTACTACTACTACTACGACTACTACTACGACTACTACTACGACTACTACTACTACCACTACTTCTACCACTACGACTACTACTAGACTACTACTACTATACTACTACTACTACTACTACTACTACTACTACTACTACTAGTCCCCAGAGCGGGGTCTAGCTTTCGCCTGCTCGTCGCTTGCTCGGTCGCTGTTGTCCCAAAAGCAGCGACCCATAGGTACGAGATAGAAGGCTTTGGATTAAGGTATAGACTGCAGGGTGGGATTTTTCAGTTTACGGTTCGGGGTCTAGGGTTTGGGTTATGGTTTGGGTCTCAGAGCTTGCGGCGAGGAGCCTCTTGACTGTCAGCGTCTTTTCGTGCTTCTTCTTTTTCTGCTTCAAGACCACCTGCTACGCCCAGGACTTGTTGTGGCTTTAAAGGCTTAGGGCCGTTTGTAATTTACGAGGTATGACGGATTCCTGTAAGGTTCCGCTTAAGGGCATGTTTAGAAGTTCAAAAGAAGCAAAACCAGGCCGCAAGCTGCGAGTCATAAAGAAATGGCCCAGACCCCTTTCTGTGGACAAGAGACCCTAAACCCTAAACCCTAAATCCTAAACCCTAAACCCACACAGGGTAGACTTAGCGGATTTTGGGTTCAGGGGCTTAGGGTTTGGGGTCTAGGGTTTAAGCGTTTAGGGTCTGTAGGGTTTGGGGGTTTTGGGGTCAAGGGTGTTTGCGGTTTAAGCGTTTAGGTTCTGGGGTTTGGGGGTTCAAGGGTAAAGGGCGTGTGCGGTTTACGGTCTCAGCACAAGGTTTCAAGGACAATAGTGTCAAGGATACCGTACGAGCCGCGCAGGCCAATGCCCGACATGCCCGAACAGAAAGGGAGACCGGCACGGTTCAGGGTTTCGCTATGGTCACCCGAAATCATAAGAGATCGCACCCCTGAAACGGACTGGACACTTTGAGTGACTGAGTTGGGTAAAAGCTACGGTTTCCGGTTTGGTGTGTCGAGAAACCCTCAACCCTACGCGTGGCCCCTAAGCCTAAATCGGTAGGCTGGCCGAACAACCGTACGAAACACAAGGTTCAGGACTACTTACTTAAGGGCTCAACGGTATACTTGGGCTTATAAGTTCCCTAGGTGTGGCTATCCTAATCATAACCTTACTGTAACTTATCAGCTTCCTTACTTGGAGGTTTGGGGGACTTAGTAAGTAGGTGTTAAGTAGAGTTATCAGTACCCTAAAATGGGATCCTAATTGGGGTTATGGCGCTTATAAGTCTATAAAATAACTAGTTACTCAGTGCCCCGACCCTCCAAGTACTAAGTCCCTCGCTCCTTTTAAGGTTTAGGGTTAAGGGTTTGGGGTTTAGGGTTTAGGGTGATTGTGGTCTGTGCCTCAGGCTCCTCCTCTGTCGCATTGGCGGACGAATTCGCCTCCTGACGACTCCGCTTGAAGGTCGTGTTGCACGTACTCTCTACTTCGGAACACTAAACCCTAAACCCTAAACCCTAAAGCCCTGGTTTAGGGTCGACCTCAAGGGCCAAATGGCCCTTAAAAGTAGAATTTAGGGTTAAGGGTTTAGGGTTTAGGGCCCTTGAAAGTAGGGGCCCTGTGCAATTATACTATGAATCCCTATATGGTATATGAACCCTAAACACTTTTAGTGTTCTTCTCATCCTGAAGGTAGGGTGTACTGAGGAAACCAAATCCCAAACCCGGAACCCTAAACCCTACACCCTAAACACCAAACCCGGAACCCTAAACCTTAAGCCCTAAACCCTAAACCCGGAACCCTAAACCCTACACCCTAAACGCCAAACCCGGAACCCTAAATCCCTTATGGAAACCCTCTTAAAAAGCCTCCTTAAGCTTTTAAGATCCTCCAGGCTCCAAATCTGTATCCAAAGCCCTAAACCCTTTCAGGAGCCCTAAACCCTAAAATAGGGGCCTTAACAATTTGAGTCCGGTTTTGGGGTATATTTTACTGTAATTATAACAAGGAGCCCTCAAAATAGTCTTGGTAATTATTTAGGCCCCTATATGAAGCCCTAAACTGTATTTTTATAGGGGCCCCTGCAGGAAGCCTAAACGGCCCTGATGGAACCCTAAACCCTAAACCCTGATGGAACCCTCAAGCCCCGAAAGTACCCCTACATGAGCTTAACTCTAAACCCTAAACCCTAAACCCTTCTCCTCGGCAGCTGCAGGCTGTTCTGCAGTCTGGTTCTCAGAGGCCTGCGGTGTAAGGTAACGGGGTTTAGGGTTTAGGGTTGAGGGTTTAGAGTTTAGGGTTTAGAGGTTAGGGTTTAGGGTTTAAGGTTTAGGGTTTAGGGTTTGGGGTAAACCCCAAACTTAAAATCTGGGTCTTGGAGAGTTCGTTCTTAAAGGTTCCTTTTAGGGCGACAGGGCTTCTAAGGGTCTTCTATAGAGCCTTTTTTCAGGGATTGGCAGACTTACAGGGTTTGTTACAATGGCTCTGGCTCTAACAGGATTCTGGGGCTTTTGAACTCACCGTATACAACTTACACAGGGCTTTGGGGCTAAGGGCTTCACGGCGATTAAAGAGGGTTTGCGTGTTTCAGGACATCCGGGTTTTACGATGGATAGGTTCCAGAACGGTCCCCCCTAAACCAGAAACCCTAAACCCTTACGGTTACACAGGGTTCTACAAGGGGTGTGATAGTGTTCGATCAACTGGTCGTACTATTTTTTTTTGTTAGGGTATAGGGTTTAGTTTAGGGTTTAGGTATGCATATTGCTGCGGCTCCTCTGCACCAACACTCGGCTTGAGGCACCGATTGCTGAGATAAGGGTCTTGCAGATTTGGTGGATCAAAAACAGTACTTAATTTACAAGACCAGATGATAATCGACTATATACTAGACCCTAAACCCTAAACCCTATACTCTAAACCCTGAGCCCTAAACCCTAAACCCTAGACCCTAAACCCCAAACCCTAAACCATGGTCTTATTAGAGGGCTTCAAAAGGTTCCGGAAGGCTTTGCAAGGCTTTGGAGCTTCAAACCCTTTCCAATGTTAAGGCAGTGAGAGTTAAAGCTTTTGCATCTTAGGGCTCTGGAGTTTTAGCGCTTTCGGGGGTTTCAGGGTCGTAAGGGTTTAAGCATTGTAGGGCTTCAGGGTTTGAGGGATTACGACTTGCGATTTACATGTCTGGGCTTGCGGATGAAGGTTTTCAGGGCTTTCTAGGGTATAAGTTGGGTTGGAAGACTTAAATTTAAACTTGGAACTATATAACTGACGGCACGACCGTAATACATATTTAAAAGCTAAATGTTGAGACTTCTGTTCTGATTATGGAGAAATTGATGGTCTGTTGAGCCTATCAAAACCCTAAGCCCAAACCCCCTGCCCCCCTACCCGGCATATCACCACCGGAAGACAGCTTGAGTCCCCTTCTGGATACCACTATTTCAGACATGACTTCAAAAGGCGAACCTGTCTGAGAGAAACCCGTAA